CAGGAGACGGCCTGGGGACAAGGATTGAGCTGGTCCCGGTTTACGAAGGCGGGGTGGAGCAAGCGTTCTAGCTTGTAGCCTTGCGTGGGCGTGTCCTGCGGCCCGGGGCGTGGAGGGGTCTGAGGGATGTTGGAGCGCACTATAGGGTCAGATCTCTCTTCCCCTTCAGCTAACACCCTGGCAAATGATGCCCTCATCCCCCCCCCCCCTTGTAACCATAATGTATTACCTGGCCAACATGGAACTAAACATTGGTGGAGAGAATGGGGCAGCAGGAGCAAAATCATGGGGGAAGGGATGGGCAACAAAGTCAAAAGCATGGAGGTGGGCCAGAAAGGGCAAAAATATGGGGAGAGGAGAACCGGGCATGGAGAGAATGGGGCAGCAGGAGCAAAAACATGGGGGAAGGGATGGGGAACAAAGTCAAAAGGGCAAAAATATGGGGAGAGGAAAACCGGGCAAATGCTTCTACTCGCGAGCACTTACTCTCCTATTTCATCTTATGGGTGTGCATGAGGCAAGGCTGTGGTGTACCTAGCATATAACTAGCCATGTATAGTGGGGATTATGATTTCCAGTGTGCATTACTTTCCATTTACCAACATTGAATTCCATCTGCCGTTTTGTTGCTTAGTCACTCAGTTTTTTAGGGCTGACAGCTTGGAGCTCCTGCTACAAGGGCAACATGGGGCTGAGAGCTCAGGCTGTCTGCCCCCAGCCGTGGGACTTCCACTGTGAGCCCCATACACTGGCCACATAAGCACTCTTGGTGAGAACAAGCTTTGCCAGGAGAAGGTGGACAGTATGGATATGGTGGCTGTATGTAGCCCAATCTTAGTTCAACTTCATTTTGTAATGTAGCCAAGGCCTTAGTGCTAACCTAACCCTGACCCCTCCAGGTGGTAACCCAGACCCCACCAGCCAGCAGACTTTGTGGCAGGGTCCTGCCTCTTGACTCCACCAGGCGTGGACCCCATGGCACAGGGCTGAGGAGGAGAGGAGCGCAACCCAAGCTTGTGTGGTATATAGAAGTTCTGAGAGCTTCCACTGGTAGCTGGCTGTAGTGTGATTAGACAGTTAATTCTGACTGGTCTATAAATTTGGGATTGCCAAACTCAGTTCCCCACCTGACATGACAATTATCACCACCAATATCTCTGAATTGCTCTTCAAAGGGTCTCATGCAGTTCCCATTAAAGGCAAGAAGAGAGGACTTCCCTTGGCAAAGCACTTTTAACTGTAAACATGTGCACAAATCTCATAGACGTGAACAGGACTTATGCACACGCTTGACCACTTGGCTGATTGGGGATGGAGTTAGAGCACATGTTTAAAGATAAACACACATGTCAGTGCTTTGTCAACTTGGACCTGAAACTACCATTGACTTTGATGTTATCAGGCTGAGCCCTTGAACTGCCTGTCACTAGACACTCCAGAAGTATAAATCGCACTCACACCAAATGGCCCATGAAAAGACTGAGCAGTCCCGAAGGAGTCCTGATGGTGACTGGTACAGTGATGTAGTAAGGCATGCTGCAAGAGTACAGCTCATGAAGGGTAAGGAAAGTGGTAGCAATCCTTTTATCATTTGTTTGTAATTTATTTCTTTCATTTCCCTCTCTCTATATCTTTGTGGGTTGTGTATGTGAGACGGGTGGGTGGGGGAGTGTTTTGTTAGTTTTGCCAGCAAATGTGCACCAATTCTAATTGGCCAGTTGTTATTGGAGGCTCAGCTTTCATGTGATAGCTTTAAAAAAGGGACTTGAAAGCTTTCCTTCTTGTCCTCTCTGCCTTGTCCTTTGTCATCTAATCTACCTCTTATGACCTCTCCCAGCAAACAATTTGCCTTTCTCGCACAGAAAGAGTGGGGAAAAAATTATTGCCACAACACTTATTTTCATCGTTGACTGCACTCGCTTAATCACATTGTGGTCTTTGCTCTGCTGTCCCGTTCCCCAGCTCCTGCTCTGCCATATATCCTGCTGATCCAGGATGCTGTGTTTCCAGTAAAAGAAGAAAACAAGAGAAAATCACTGCTTAAATGCTGCCAAACAAATGCCATGTGTGGAAAAAATAAAAACTTTTCTGAGATGCTTAATTACAAGCTTTAATATGGCTAAGTGTAAATGTGTGCCTCAGGTTATTATTAATTATTATTATTAATAATAATTAATGTGGAGTTCACCCTTGCATTTTGGATAATCAGGAGCTGATACAGTTGTTTGATTTAGATTAGCTTAATCAGAATTTCTTTTCAGAAGTGTATTTCAACATTTTCTTGAGCTGGTATGAGAAGGGCTGATGCAGATCTTTTATTAATAGAAAATTGCCTTGAGCAAATGTACTTGGTGTCACAGGAAAAGAGACTCAGATGTGTACAGTTTTCTGCCTGCATCCAGCATTTGCATATGCTGCAAGGACAGGCATGTAAATAAAGGTTATTGGTGTGATGGGGAAAGCATATCAGTGCTGGGATCATAAAGAGGGAAGGCAAATATATTAAGCCACCTGCTGCTTGTGGCTTTCTGGTTTGTTAGTCAAGTGACACAACAGTCAGTGTTTGTCCACATTTGTCTTGCTGTTAGTATGTTCTTGGGCCACACTGTGCTTTCTCGGAATCCCATTGACTGAGTGGCATTTCTAGTGATGACCAAGTTGCACAAGGACTGTACAATTTGGGCCATATGAAGAGGCCAAGTAAATTGCCTGTCCACAGGGTAGCACTAGGTCAGAGACTGAGAGGAATGAAATAATCCTGCTCATGGCTCTATAGCTTTGCCTCTCAGGATCCAGCTCCTTCTCATGCTGTGGGACCAGGGGCAGATGACTGTTTTGTGGGGCCCCGGGCAGCATAACTCCATGGGGCCCCCCCTTTGCCACGGCGCATGCGCCGTGACACCATGTGCATGCGCGGTGGCGCCACGGCGCATGAATGAGGCTTTTTTAAGCGCGGGGCCCAGGGCGGCCGCCCCGTTCGCCCTGCCCTATATCCGCCCCTGTGTGGGACCACACTGCTTTTGATGGATTTGGAGCTTCCTGTTGCTCCACTGCACCCTGGCAGATTTGCCCTGTGGTCTTTTGACTGGTCATATTGTAAGGGCTGGGAGGGGAGTGGGGAAAGTTGCCCAGCGGGGGATGGGATCTCTGGAGTGGAACTCCTAAAGCAGTGATTCCCAGACTTTTCAGCATCATGCCCCCCTTTCTGATTTTTGAAAAACCCTCATGCCTCCCCCCCCCCCAAAAAAGGAACTGAGCAGGGCAGCAAAACTTGTTGGGGAGGGGTCTGGGTCACCTCGTGACCCCTCCTGGAATGTCTTCACGCCTCCCAGTTTGGGAACCAATGTCCTAAAGGGAGACATGTAGGGAATGGCCCAGGCTGGCCTGTCACCTGAGCTAGATGGAGGATTCAGTCAGGTGATACTTTGCCTGGGAATCTGAACAAAGGAGGAGGCGTGGCAGCCTGGAGGACCGTGAGCAGCTGCTAGGTGTGTGAGGGAGTTTTCGGCTGGCTGAGGGAGAAGGGAGCCTAGCTGTCTGGGGGTTGGGACAGGGGCCCACAGGTGGGCCCAAGATGGATTGTACTGAATGTTCCTGGTTCCTGTAACAAGAAATCTGGGCTATGCTGTGTCCCTGTGAACCAATAAACCTTCTGTTCTACCTGTTGGCTGAGAGCCACGTGTGATTACGGATGGGGGTACAGGGCCCGGGTAACACTCACACACTCCATGACAGCACTATAAGGCAGATTTTGACATCAGTTAAACTGGTATTAATGTGGAGTAACACCACCAAAGTTGGAGGAGTGAAAATGAAATTGGAGGTCCAGACCCTCAGCTGGTATATACAGGTTGAACGACTCTGGTCCAGCACCCCTGGGACCTGACCAGTGCCAAACCAGATAATTTGATGGACCATGGGAAGTCAATATTGTCTAGCGGCATTACCAACATTTCCACTGCTAACTGGGCTCTTGGAAGACATTCAAGGATAAATTAGAGCAAAATAACAGCACAGAACACTGAGAGCCAGTCAGGATTGGTGGTTGTAAATAAACTTTATGGAACCACAGGAAATTTGGCCTCACCCATGATACGTGGACATCCAGCTCACTAAAATCATGCTGGACCATGTACATTGCTGGACCCGAGAGTGCCAGAGTAGAGAGTTTGACCTATAGTAACAAAGAGTGAATGAGCCAAAGATCTGGGTTTTTTACACAGGTGTAAATCTGAAATCATTGGTCAGTAGACTCAATTCTGTGTATATATACTGATGTAACTGGTGGCAGAAACTAGGCCATTGTGCACTAATGTCTCAAGTCCTGGTCTTGTCATTTCTGCATCAATAATAAACAAATCCTAGCTCTGTGGTATACCAATGTTTTTCTTAACAATGCCTTCAAGAAACACTGACCAGTCTGATATTTTTTCTCACAGATTGTTATTACAGAATTAAGGAGAAAAGAAGATGGAGTCTTAGAATTAGAGCCTTCAGAGGCGCATTGACAAAATTAATGAAGTAGTGTAATCTATTCACAGATGTAAGGGAATGTCCTGTGACATTAATAGCTATTTTACAGAGAGAAACTGAGATGCATTGGCAGGTCTCCATGTGAAGAGACAGGATTCTACAAACTTAAGCATCACGAGAGGGAGAGTCTATACATAATTTTAAATGTGTTTTAGAGAATTGGTTTATGTGTGAATAAGAAAGACAG